CTTTAGAGGTTGATAAAATATTTAAAAAGAAGTCATTAATCTTTTATGAGAGTTGTACTTTATTCTTAGAATGTCCTCACATGGTTATAGATTTCTAAGAGTCTACTAAAGTCAATAAATTGAAAGAACACTTTCAGTTTCTAGAAGTTCATTTCAGAAGTCTTTATGTACTCTTTCTGAAAAGCTTTTGGTCTATTTAAACTGTATATTATAATTGTGTCAAAAATATATCACGAAGTAAAGCATCACATTAAATAATTTGTATAATGTCACCATTTAAACATATCAATATCTCTAAAATTCTAACATATATAAAAATTCTCCTATTCTGTCAATGGTACTTATAAATTTAATTTGACTGTCTTTATTCTGACAAAGTTATTTTCACTTTTATTTGTATAAGAACTATAAAAAAGTAAAACATAAAAGTAATTTATAAAACAAGGAAGCTGAACTTTAAGTGTTATCATTCAGTAAAAGACTTTTCAGTGACATTTTGTCAATGTAAATATGTTAGCTATTATTACTTCCATTGATCTGACTGAGAACTTTTCTTTAAGAACCAAAGTGAAAATATTACATTTACAGTCACATTTTACTGAAAAATAATTTCAACTATTCATTAACATTAAATTAATTCTCTTAAGATATCTAAATATCGTGAGATTATCTGAATTATCCCGCAATGTGTTCTTTCATGTTGAATTATTTTTAAAATTAATTACGATCATAATTGAATAGCTAGCTATAATACTATTGAATAGGAAAAGGATATAACTATTTAAGGGTAGAATATGTAGCTAGTCTACTCTGACATTAAATATTTTTAAAAAGCATTATTGTATGCAGAGTATATATTTCTTTCATGCTTGACACAAATTTGCTTTTATATTTTATGGTGGTAAGATAGTGGTTAAGGGCATTGTTTTTTTACACTTTGCTTACCATGGATACAATACTTATAAATTCCTATTTTTGTTTCTGTTTTGCTCCCAGCCATAGTGGGGCATTATTAGTGGTCACAGTGATCACACTGTTAGTGAAATAAAAAAAAACTAAACATATTCCTGTATTTCACCACCATTAACTTTATATTTACTACTGTCTCTATTTCTATATGTAGAGATGTTTGGGATAAAAAAAAAATAAATTGTTGGATGCCTTATTTATCCATTAGATAGATGTAACCTTCCATTACTATGGACTAAGTTTATGTTGTTTGTTTGCCCTTTTTACAGTACATATGAAAAATTGGTTACAATGTATTTCATTTGCTGTTTAATAATTGCTGATTGCAACTGTATAGTATTTGTGTATTTTTTTCTTACACTGTTCTATTTTCTATTGGACCAGCTTGTTTCTACATGATTACATTGGCCATGCAGACCTTCTCCCAGCACAACATGTCATGGAGTGAATAGCTTACTTGTGTATCTTTACAGCACTGCAAAACACTATAGCTGCTCACCTGGCTCTAATAGTTAGGGGAAAAAAATTGAAACTTTTTTAAAGTTTATGAAGTTTGTCCTTTAGAAATATTTAGGGGTTCAGATTAGGTTTGCAGGGTTTTCTGATTTTCAGCAATCCTTACAGCAACACCACACTTCTAGGAAACTACTTCTGACATTTACACAAGATTACACTGGAATAACATTGTCAATCTGCAGGGAGGAATTGTTTCTTCTGTCCTAATAAATGAGAAAGAGACATTTCTTCTATAAACCTAGCTATGTCCTTCTGAATGATAGATATATTGGCTTGTTTGCATTTCTGCTGAAACTGAGAAAAAAACCATAGTGGTTTGATTTGAACACATATATGAAAATCCTCTTTACTATTTGAATGCGTAATGCAATAAGGATTATTAGAAATTCGTTTTTGTAAATGAATAGTACAGATGACTGAAAAGATTAAATGGCTTTGATAGGCACTTACTGTTTGGGAAAAAAGCTGCACTTTTCTGCAGTATAAATCCACACATTTGGCCATGTAAAACCAAAGAATAATATTAAACAAGAAAAAAGAAGGAATGTAGATGGGTATTAAAACTTATGTTTGAATGAAAATGGAAGATAAAGGTAAGGTTTTAAAAAATTCCAAGTGCTTTTAATATCTTCCTAAATTCTAATGGTAAGTCACACATTCTTGCATTAGCAAGCATTCATTTATTCAGAGATGCAAAAAGAATATTATGTAAAATTATGGTATGGACCAGTTATGAAGTCCAGGACAAATAGAATTCACATTAAATTAGTTCTTTAAACTATTCAGCTAAGGTTTTAAATACTGTAGCCTATATTACAGTAATACATAGAAAACTGTGTAGAATTATATATATATATATGTACGTATGTATTTTTATTTCTTTATTTTATTTTCCTGGACTTACACAGATTCATAGATTTCACTAGAAAAATTTAATATCTTTAGGAATATATTTATAAATTTCTGTAACAGTTATACTTGATGTCTCTGGAAAATGTTCCCTCTATTTACACTTTAGAAACTGCCTTTACTAAAAGAGATAAGTCAATGTAAAAACAGTTCATTTCCATTCTCTGCTTTCTTTCCTTAAATCCTTAGGAAGCCCTGGAGATTCACATTGGGAAACAAGAGCTGTGACTGCATAGTGCAAATACAGGCTGACTTGGCACAGTGTCCCTCACATTAAACAGAGCTTTGCTCTAGAAATGGTACAGGTTCAATGAATGGCCTTCAGAGCAGCTGCCAGCATTCCTTTCTGGCAGACAACTAAAGGAGATGTGTGCCATGTGAAAGACTCTTGCTAGGTTTCAAGGTATTAAAGAATAAGCACTGGAAAAATGTGCCACAGGGACAGGCTCGCCTATCATCCACGAGGACTACTTGAAAATGAAAAAGAAAAATATCCTTTACAATTATTTTAAAGATTATAGAGAACATTGGTGTGAACTCCCTTCCAGTACAGTCCTAGAACACCATAATCTGTCAATTGCAAGATACTGCCCTTAGCACAAAGGAATATGGGGACAATATATTATGGATAGGCAATGTATGAAAATCTAAGCCATTTTAAAAAATCACTTAAGAATAATTTCCACGTATGATTCTGATTCACTATTTTTAGTAGCTTATACACATCAAAAATTAATGAGCAACAACTGATCTGTAACTAGTGAGAAATTGAGAAACAGCGCTTGTGCTTTACCTTCCTTTTCTTTGTCCATTGATATGAAAAATGAATCTGGGGGAGGGAAACTTAAACTGAAGAACAATTTTTGAGATGGCAGATAAAGGTGATTTCAGTGGATCTGTGGCAATTTCCACAATCCTTCTCTCAGTCGTCTCCAAAAAAAAAAGGGTAGTATAATTTTGGCCAATCCACCCTTTTGTTAGTTTGGTTCACATTGTTCCTTTCCTTCTAACAGAAGAAGAAACTCCTCAGTAAGAAGTCATTTCTTTCTGAGATGTACCAGGAACTAGAACTCTTATTAACCTAGGAGAGTATTGCTATCATACAGTGGAAACAATGCAATATATAAACGTCAGACATCAGTGTTAAATTATACATTAATTATTTTTCAGTGACCAGAGTTAAACTTCTGCACATTTGGCTTTTTTTTTCATATTTTTCCCCCATTTTTTCCTCATATGCACATGCACAGCCTCATGATAAACTGCTGGAGATAAGGCTATTACTAGCTGACATTGTAAGAATCTTTACTCCCTACAATGCCTAGTGCTGAGATGATTTTCATTGCTAGGAGCCTGAGAATGCATGTCATTTAGACACAAATTCTGCTTTTCCAAATTACGCTCTGATTTTTTTTCTCTTGACAGTTTGACATGCTCCCTTTTGTATTATTATTATTATTGTTATCATCATCATCATCATCATCATCATCATCATCTATAATTTAACAGCTCTCTTTTTATTGCTGTGTTAAGTTCCCCACAGTATAAGCAAATATACTATTGACAAAAATCTATGTCTACAATAATAAAATAATTTATCATTTTGGCAATATTCTTTGCTATTTTTAAAGTAGGTTTTATGCTGTCTACTCAGACTTCATTTTGTTCTGAAGACCAAAGGGTACTTTAGTATGTGGAGGAATCACAGAAGCAATCTATCTGTCAATTCAAATTTTGTATTTAACACGTAACATCACTAAGGATTTAATGGCAAAGGACAGACAATCATTTATCTTAGTACTGCATTCCTATGCTGAATTTGTTCCAACACTGGGAAGTTCTAAAACTATAATTTTAAGTGAGACTATAATTTCTCATTTCAGCATAGGAAAAACATTCTTGTTTCATTTTAACAGCAGATGTATAGTGGTGTTAATGAGTAGAAAACTGTATGTGGTAACATTGTCCCAGATTAAGAAGTTAACAGTTTATCAAAGACATTGGGTCTTTTCCCCACCTCTAACTACAGCTGACTGAACCTGAGCAACATGAACCTGCTGGCTCATGTCCCTTCCCTTCCCTTCCTGCCCCTCCCCACCCTCCCCACCCTCCCCTCCCCTCTGCAGGTCATAGAACAGCTGCTAGGTCAGTAAGAAATATATTCTCATATTCCCCTTTTTATAGTTGTTTAATAATGCTTTCAGAATTAGGATCATCTGATTCAATTTTGATGAAAATATTACTGATTCATTGGAGATTCACAATCATATTATCATCTGGTTATATTCATTCAAGTAAGGCATAGCAAATTTCTGACTGTGATTTGCCTTCCACCTTCTCCTTTGCACTTTTTATTTCTTTCCAGACATGAATTTTAAACTACTGTTGAGGGTGTGATATAAGGATGTGGGTTTACTTGAACCTTAGTAATACTGAGTATTAATTATCAGATTCTAAAATACAGGCTGAATACCATTTGAAGTTTAATTGTATATAATAATAATAGAATATCTTTCCCATTGAACTAGAATGGTAGTAGTTATCACAGTTGTCCCTTATAAAGTTGATTAGATTTAAAAAGAATATTTTTATTTCTTCTCTTTCAGTTTCTGACTTGGATATTCAAATAGTAAGGTGTTCTACTAGGAGAGTTTCCATGTCTTTCTTATGAGCCGTTGTGAGATGATTTTGCACTGAAAGTTTTCAGTTCCTGCATCTGGTGGCACAAATGAAATGTTGTAAGTGTTTTTATTATTTTTTCTTTCCATATTTAATATCAGGTAACATAATGGTAGCTTTAGTTCTCTACTAATGTCAAAGATTAAAGCCTGAGAGTTTCAGATTAGACATTTGGGCAAGAAAAATCTACTAGAAGGGCAGTGCAGCACTGGAGCTGGTTACCCAGAAAGGTTGTGAAATGCTTTTGGAGATTTTCAAACCTTGGCTGGACAAAGCCACAGCTGACCTCTTCTAGTGTTGGTTATACCCCCATTCCGAGTAGGAACAGACCTGTATGAACTCCATTGACAACCCCTCCAACTAGCACTGCTATCTTACTGTGAAAATGCAGTGACTGTAAGATAGAAAAGGTATAAAGAGTCAGCTGCTGTCACAAGGGCAGTATATCCAGATAAGCATCCTGGAGAATCAATGTCTTTGAACTTGATTTTCAGGAACTGCTCCATATCACACCAACATACTGTGCTAAAAAGGGATGACAATGAAACTGATTTTCTCTTATGTAAGTGACAGGGTAGAGAGAGGCGTATCACAAACTACAGTCTCATTTGGTCTGATGAGGAGTTGCACCACTGCTTGCTCTGGACTGCCTGCAAATTACATGACTGTGTCCTTGTGACCTGAATCAAACACAAACTAGGCAGGACAAACAAGGAACTTCACTTAGGGATTGTTGAGGTGGTCTTTAAATCTCATATAACGCTATATTACCATCAAAGGGTTATTCATGGTCAGCCTTGTATAACTGGCATGTATTAATGGAATCATAGTTCATATTTTTTTCTGTGTAAATTTATTGTTCCCCCTTTTCCATAGGCATATGTGTTATTCCTACTATACCTCAACATAACTGATAGAGTTACTGCAGATCACAGTACAGTGATTCTGTTCTTATATTTTTCCATTTCACTAATATAAGCAGATTCACCTACCAAACTATTTGAACTCTATGGTCTCCTCAAGTGTCTTTACCATAGCAAATGCTCCTTGATGCATTATTGAGTTTCATCAGTGAGTGTAGAAAAAGAATAATTTCCTTTTTATATTTTTTTCTAATGCTGATAAATCAAAAATCTTGATAGGTTAAACTTGAAAAAATTCCTACAGTAATCTTCAGCAAAGCAAATGGATGTTAATGGAATGACAGTATAAAAGGGATATAAAAAAATGCCTTCCTACAAATAACATTAATCATATTTTTCTCTTAATGGACATACCATCATACTTGTGTATGCTAATTTGTTTCTATTGTTCAAATAAAACACTTCATGCACTGTTTCAGCTAACAGTGAGCAAAGTCAATACTTTGTTTTGACATCTCTATTGTAGTTTGCATTTTACCTCCTGTTTGATACAGATAAATTCTATAGTTGTGTCACATTTTTCTTCAGGATCGGGTAGATCAGTGAGGGTGATAAAATATTAGTGATGAAAGCTTCGGGAATTAGATATGTCTGTCTCAGTCTAACCTATTTCTTTTGTGTGAACTCCATCAGAAATGATGTACTGTAAAAAATACTATGTCTGTTCAGATTAAATATGTCATTTTTCAGAACACAGAAAGAGCCTAAATTTTTTATTTAATGTCTGAATTTATTTAACAGCTTTATACATTTTTCAGTAGTTTTGTTGTCAAAAGCAGAACTGATTGCCAGTATGCTATTTCCTTGTATTTCTCCTACTATCCCATTACTCTGCAGAACACAAGGAGCTAGAAGGAAGCTTCATTGGTAATCTTCTGCCACAACAGGGAAATTATAGTTAACTATCTAGTTGCTGTGGTGGTTACAATGTGTGTTACAGGAGAAGCTTTTAAGAGACCTCTAGTTTTTGACTAGGCCCTGTTAGATTGAAAGAGAATGGGAAGTGATCATTCCCTCTTCCTTTCAAATACTTTTTTATGGTTATGCTTTTGGGGCTTGCTTATATTAAACTAAATTTTGTCAAAATTTCTGTCCCAAAGGCTGGAGGACTGAGTGGACTTTTTTTTTTGGTTGACAGATATTTTGTTTTCTCTTCCTTGTTTCACTACCTTGTACTTCTTCATTTATTTCTTCCTTAGTTAGCTTTAACATGGTTTAGTTAAATAGAAGCAACTCTTGGGCCAAAGAGGCAGGCTTTTTTTTCAAATTAATGTTAACCTGTGCAGGGTAGATTTTAATGAATTATCCATATAGCAACAAAAACAGGAATGGGTCTCCTGACTCAGCAATGAAAAATAAAAGTAATTACATAAGAACAGGTCAAGTTAAAAGTCCATGAAGAACAATAAGCTGTCTCTATTAGTAGTCTATGACAGTGTGGATTTTTATGTCCTTGAAAAAGTAATTGTATAGCACTACGAAGATTTTGCATTTTTCCTCCTACTTGACTCATGCTGCTTGCCATGCAGTTGTTATTTCCATTTTCTTTTGCTTACTCCTGTCATGGGATTCTATCAATCTGCTTAAAATAAAATTTGGAGAAAATGGTTCTGCTTGTCTAGACCTCTCAAAAAACTACATCACTATCTAAAGACAGGAGTTATCCTACCTAACTTTACTCTTAAAAAAATGGAATAAATGGAAAGACACAATCTGCCTATTCAGAGCACATTTTTTAAACAGCTATCTTAGCATACGTTTAATTACTTTATAATGAGTACCTTTGCAAGCAGCATAGATTACATGACTAATGCTTAGATGACTAAACCAAAGAATTAATTCTTTCCTGATGGTTGAAAGCATTGCTCTTTCTGTTCATGGTGCTGTCAGCCAGCTTCAAGGTACTGCTTCGTAGTTAAAAGTGGGTGGGACAGTGACACAGGAATTAATACTTGGTTTTATGCCTTTTCCAGACCTGATAATACTTTGGTAATTCGAGTTTGGTTTTTTTTATTAGTCTATAAAAAATATTTCCCATAAAAATTCCTTGTTAAATTTATACTTCCACCAACAATGAGGACTCAAATCTCATGATCTTCCAGTCCCACACTCCATCAAATTCACTATCTAATATTGTGTCCTTTCTGTCCATTTCTATAGCTCCTTTTAAATCACAAATTTGACAGTCCTTCAGTCCCTGAGGTACACCTAGGAGGTTCTAAAGCTGCTGTGGTTTCTGGGGTCCACTCACGTTGTTGTCACACACTTCCCATGTGTGCTGCTGATGGTTTGCTGAAAGTATTTCCAAGAGTTATGAAGAGTGAGGAGTTTCTGGTGAGACAGGACAGTCTGGCGTTCTATCCCAGAAGGCCAATTGTTGTAGAACGCTTTTAACATTATACTTTCCATTCTTATGAGAACAAAACTTTTCTTGAAATGTTGGAAAAGAAATGTAAGTTTTAAGGAGAGTTACTACTTTGTAGAAGACACTAAAATATTCCAGCAACCCTATCGTACAGCACAGTTCTGTCCTGTGCCCAGTGTGCTTCACAGATCAGAGCTAAGGTGGCAGTGGTGGGTGAGAACACTAGCCCATGGTGTGAAATTGGTCTCATCTCTACCAGACTCACATTTTTTAACCAAACTCTCATTTTTTAATCTTGTTTTTTTGTCTATTAAAAAAAAAAAAAGGAAAAAGGAAAAGGAGCTTTCTTTTACTTCAGAGTAAAACAAGACACCGAGTCATATGTTTCATAAACACAAGAAGAATCAAGCAGTTTACTATGTCCTGTTGGCCTTTTGCATAGTGTTAAATGAAATCACACATTGCTCAGACTTTCTAATTAACAGTATGCTTTGTGGAGGAAGTCTTTCAGTAATTAACCTTTCAATTAATCAAAGTACATTTTCTGCTTCTCTCCAACTTCGATCTATTTCATGTTTTTTCTTTCTTTATTTCTTATCTTTTATTTTGTGGTCTAGATCTTGCCTTTGAAATAATAAGAATCACAGCTGATTCACAGCTATCAAAATTTTGAGCTACACTGTAAGATGACAGAGAATAGTAAAGCTTATTTTCATTCTAATAATTCTGAATTAAAATATCAATTTTAGTATGATAGAAAAATAACTCCCATTACCCATTTTTGTTGGCTAAAATCATATGCACTCATAAAGATGCTCTGCTTTTCATTCAACCTCAAAGGTTATTCATTTTAGAGATGTAGAACTATTTTTGTAAAGGGAGACAGAATTGTTCCTTATATATACAATAGAACTTCATCAGACTGAAAACTGAGCTCACATGTCACCTGCAGCCTTTCTCTTCATTTTCCAAAATATTTTTATTTCCTAATATGCATTTCTTAGGTAGTAATTTTTGTCATTGTATTCTATAAAAGTATGGAGTCATTTATAAACAAAGTGTCTTACAAGCAGAAGGCTTACAAGCCAACATATACAGATTTGAAAGTTGGAGAGGTTAGGCAAAAACCTCAGAAATAATTGTATATTTCATAAAGTTATAAAACAAAAGTGGAAACTATTTGATAAATGTAATTTTCTCCGGCAAAGAACAATATAGACTTTTCTTTTCTCTCATGTCACTTAAGCAAATAGAATAATGTATTCCAACTTGGCTACATGTAAGAACTAACTGACCAACAGCCAGCCCAAAAGATCTGAGAGCTGACCTGATGTTTTATCAATATGTTTGCTGAATTAATTAATCATTACTTTGTGTATGTGGTTTTGCATATTTTTTCTTATATGCACTTAGAAAAGCCTACAAATAAGCTTCTAAAGAGAAAACCTTGCAATATTGAGGGATTTACCAATTTCCAACTCTCAATGCATATTTTTTTCCATTCAAAGAAATTACTTAGGCTTATTAGAAATTTGGGCTAAAAAAACCATCAGTCAGCTTTAACAAGATGATCTTTAACAAACTTGGTTAATCACAATGGGACACCTGCCTCCCAGTTTCATGGAATCATAGAATATGCTGAGTTGGAAGGGATCCATAAGGATCATTGAGTCCAACTCCTGGTCCTGCACAGAACCAGCCCCAAGAGTCACACCATGTGCCTGAGAGAACCATCCAAATGCTTTTTGAACTCTGTCAGACTTGGTGCTGT